TTGAAAAAAATGTCGCTTACGTTATTTTGGCGGTTAGGGCTCGATATGTATCCACAATTTATGTATCTACTTAATTTTGATACTCACTGTATGTATTTGAAGTTAACCCACCCACTTTTCCATATGTAGCCTAGTCAACCACCAAAACATCAAGCAATGCGAAGTACACTTGTCACCGTACATATACAAACATACATACATATGTGAGAAAATTTAGGTGTATCCGCACTTACCACATTAATTGGTGCAAATCTCTTTTATCGCCAATACCAGTTAAAGGAAAATTCCTATTCGCTGCCTCATAAGCACTTTAAAAATTTTATATCCAATAAGTAACTTTTCTCCAACAAGAATTAGCAAGGAAATCAGCGACAGTGATGCTGCTTCTTCCACGATGCGTCTGCCTTTCCTCTTAATATTTTGTTTGTTTTTCTCTATTCACTTGCACCGCTCCCAATTGGTGAAAATTGGAAACGTATACATAAATAACAATTTGCAGCCGAATTTAAGCACAATTTTCATCAAGAAAAATTGGCGCTAAATGCACAATTTTATTTGCAAAAAGAGATTTATCTTTTCATTTACACTGCCAACGTTTCAGCACTACCCGTTTCGCCACTACCAATTCGACTACGTACACTTGCACTCGCGCACTGCTCAACCACACCAGCAAATTTTATCACCTTTTCAATTATTCATTTCATGCGAATAATTACACATGGAATATTTTGTTTTCATAATTTTTTAAGAATTTAGGGATAGATAATTTTACGCGTATCTGCACAGGCGACTTGTCCGCTCGTTTTCACCGATTTCTTGTTTTTGATTTTTTTAGACAACAAATTTTCCGCTCTTCTTTGGAGCTATTTCTGATTCGATTTGTTTCATTGCCATTTCATTTCACTAGAGACGTCAATTGGTAATCGGAATGATTTTCAGTGTGGACAAACAATTTAATAAAGAAATACAAATGTAGTACATTATACAAAATTCTTACTATTTTTTATTAATGGCCGCTGTGAAGTAGTAGTGCGCGCTACCATTCTGCAGGGCATGGGTTCGACCCCAATTTCCGAGCAAAATCAAAAAATAAAAACAAACAAGTTTTTTCTAATATCTGACGCCCCTCGGCAAGCATTTGCTAACCTCCTGAATGTATTCACTGCTAAGAAAAAGCCGAATTGGAGAATAAAAAACTGTTTGATATTCTATTTAATATTATATATTATATTCTATTTAATATTCTATTTTTCGATAGGAAACGTGTTTTAATTTAAAATGTGTAAGAAACTTGGACCTTCTCTATAAATTTACGTTCTCTGTTGTGCAAAAGCACATTCACAAGATCCTGAACAGCCCTATTATCTTCTCAACAAGTGCTTCCAAGTTACAGCTGAACATAAGCAAATTTTGACAGCGGTGTGAACAAGTGCAGCAGCTGTTTTTTATTCCCAAATTTGCCGCAGAATTCGTTTACAAAAACAAAACAAGTGCAAGGCGTCGATGAAATCAGCTAAAATCAGTGATGTTAACGCTTCTATTTCGACCCGTTCACAACTCCAAATTTTTTTATTGTTTTTAATTATACATAAAAATGAAATGAACGTTTTTCTATTTAATTAAACATGCTTATGAAAATTTAAGAGATCGTAATAATTATTAATCTTATTTATGTAGTTAGTCTTGTTTTTTAATTCCCCTAATTGTATAGCAGGGGCACAAAATTGGAAATTACTGCAACATTGCCAAGGAGGAGTTTTCGGTATTTTTGCAGTGCAGTTGTTTTTTAATTATTTAATCCACCCGACAAAATCAAGGATATGTCGAAAAATAAATTAAATTTAACGTTGCCTCCTGGAGCTGTGGATGCAACAGTAGCTGCATCGCAGGTTGTGCCGACACCGCCGTTCAAGACACCATCTGGAACAGAGTAAATATCCAAATAAACACTTCTATTGATTTTTCACCTTCTGCACCTGCATTTTTCTTATTAAAATTTAATTTTTGTTGCTACTTTCACCTACAACGCCGGCGGAAACGTTTTTAGATGTTGTTGGTTTTATTTGCTTTGATTTTAAATAACTTGCCTTTTGTATATCAATAGTAAATACTCAAATGTCGATATGGTTGCTTCCGTGAGGATAGCTCCTTGCGCATTTCTGCATTGCATTACCTATCTTTGGCCTTTCTCTCCACCTATCTGTCTTAATTTTGTTGCTTTTCGGTTTGTTGCACAAAAATTCATTAAAAAGTTGAATTAAAGAAAACATAGTTTACTGGGGAAGCCGAAGACGAGCATCGAGGCGTTGACGGAGACACTAGAAGAATTGGAAATGGATGATTCAGCGCGAAATCGTATTAAAGTGTTTCTAAGTCAAAAAGAGAAAATTGGCGAACTTTCCGATGATGACCTCGAAAAGTTGGGCGAGCTGGGTTCCGGTAATGGAGGTGTGGTCATGAAAGTGCGTCACATACCAACAGAATTGATAATGGCACGGAAGCTTATACATCTTGAGGTGAAGCCAGCGATTAAAAAACAAATTATACGCGAATTGAAGGTATTGCACGAATGCAACTTTCCGCATATTGTGGGCTTCTATGGTGCTTTCTACAGTGACGGCGAAATTAGCATCTGCATGGAATATATGGATGGCGGCTCTTTGGATCTTATATTGAAACGTGCTGGACGAATACCGGAATCCATACTTGGCAAGATAACATTGGCTGTGCTAAAGGGGCTGAGCTACTTGCGTGACAAGCACGCCATCATGCATCGGGATGTGAAGCCGAGTAATATACTGGTGAACAGCAGCGGAGAGATAAAGATCTGTGATTTTGGCGTGTCAGGGCAGCTAATCGATTCCATGGCCAATTCATTTGTGGGCACGCGCAGCTACATGTCGGTAAGAAATCTACTTCATTTTGCATGGTAATTAAGTTGAGTAGCTCAGATAACTTACACAGCCACACATTTACACTCTTTACAGCCGGAACGTCTGCAAGGTACACATTACTCAGTGCAGTCAGACATTTGGTCGCTAGGCTTGTCGTTAGTTGAGATGGCGATCGGCATGTATCCCATACCACCGCCCGATTCAAAGACCCTTGAAGCGATATTTAACGATAATCCCGAAGACGGTCAACAGACAGTGGTGGAACCCAAAGTCATGGCCATATTTGAGTTACTAGACTACATTGTCAATGAACCACCACCCAGGTTGGAGCACAAAATATTTACCGACGATTTTAAAGACTTTGTAGACATATGTCTGAAAAAGAATCCAGATGAACGTGCTGATTTAAAAACATTGCTGGTATATACAAACTAAGTTTGCTCTGAAAAATTAAGACTGTAGCTCATGTTATCAATTCGCAGAATCACGCTTGGATACGCAAAGCTGAGGTTGAAGAGGTGGACATTGCTGGTTGGGTGTGCAAAACCATGGATCTACCGCCATCGACACCGAAACGCAACACATCACCCAATTAAAGGTTTTTGATATTAAAAATGCATTTGCTTTTATTTTATTTATAAATATTCCAACCCCCTAATAAATGTACTCTATAACGAAAGAGATATGTTACTGTTTTTAGGTTTAGAAAAGGGTTTGCGGCCAGAACGTCGATAAAGACCAAGGACTAATAACATGCTACACAATCAGGGAAAAGCACAGCAGGGAGATACAATTCAAAACCTTATTAGGGGTTATAACCTGAAGAGATAATGGCTTCTAATTAATTCCTTGATCTCTGTCGCTTTTGCGACCATGGAGAAGATACACCTTTGCTCGTATTCCTTTATCATGGAGTCGTTTGAAGAAGTTGGGAGAAGAGTGCTCCATGTAGCCGTAAGACGAGCGTAAATATTCCATTGACCAAAGGCTATTCTATCTTGTCTAGAGAATTAAATATTAGACAAGTGTTGTGAAGAGTAAGGTCGCAGTGCATACCTTTTTGAAATATCCTTTTATGTCGAATATTAGTTAGAAAAGTTTTTAAGTAAGTTATTGTTGTGGTCAAATCGATCGATGGCGTTTGTGTGCAAGAAAGCAAAGCTAACAATGCACAAATAAAGGTCCACAATATGCCCTTGAAGCAAGACGACTCCTTTGGTTGGGCTCAAGGTGCCTTCAACGTAGTGCACCAGCCAAACCGAAGTAGAGCAAGGCTAGACACTTGTATTGCGCATTGACTTCATTTCAAATACATACATAAGTGTTCGTGAATTTTGTACATGCAAAATATGCTTTTTTATTAAAGAAATAAATACTCATGTTCGTAAATTCAAAAATTAGGTTTCGAGTACACATACTTCCTATTTATACATAAATACACATATGCATCTATATATGGGCATGGCTGTGTATGTATACGCGTATGCGAAGTAAAAATCCATTATAATATTAAAAATTGTTTGTTGTTGATCCTTAAATCTAAATACTCGTATGGTAAAAAAATATGTATGTATGTATGATAAAAAATTTAAAATTTGTTGTATTTAGTTGCTTAAAGGTTGTAATAATCGACAAATTCAACGGTGCGTCTGTAGCACATCGGATTCAATCTGACCGGTTTCCATTTCTTCTACAAATTCCAAAGACCAAAAAAGGTATCGGAAAACGTAACAATGTGAAAACATAAAGAAAAGATAAAGAGAAGAAAGAAACTATCAGTGAAAGTTGATAAAACTGAACTTAACTCAATTAGAATATGTAACTTGTTTAAATGGAATGCATAAATGCGTACGAATGTTTGAGCATACGAGCAGAATACGTAAAATGCAAGCTTTTTCATGATGCAGTTAGCGCAGCTTTTTAAGTTTCGATTTCTAGAAAAAAAATTTCAAGTAAAAAGACATGCGTTTACGACGAAATGGCTTTGCTAACTTTTGAAAGCCACTATTTAAGCGATTGTATAAGTCCGCATTAACAAAAAATATATATGGATGAGTAAAGAAATAAATGAATATAAGACTAAACTGTTGCATTGGGTAGTGGTGGCGTAGGTGGTATTATATTCGGTATTGCTACAACGCAAGCGCCAGCACGACTGTATGTCAGCGGTGCAGCTTGTGTCCACTCGTTTGTCTCAGCGTTGTATACTTCAACAGTCTTCAAGTAGTGATTGCCATCGTAACCGCCAATAGCCATTAGGCGATCGCCCAGCAATGCGCAGCCAATGGCATCGCGTCCAGCATTTAGCGAACAGATCTGCAGGAAAGCTAATATTAATAATCTACATAGCGTACTTTGAGTAGTTGCTTACCAAAGTCCACGAGTCCGTAGCTGGATCGTAACGCTCAACTGTATCTGTGCGACAGACAGAAGGATTACTGGCTGGGCAATCATGCCCACCCAGCGCATATAAAAATCCATTTGAAACGGTCACCTGGAAAAGGAAAATATTTTTATGCAAAGCACACCACGCATTATACATATGCATATAAATATTCAATTTTACTTACTCCCACACCTCCCCGCCGTTTATTCATAGGTGCGCGCATAGTCCATTTGTTTGTGTGTGGATCGTAGCATTCGATTGAACGATGACATACGGAACCATCTCGCCCGCCAACGACATACAAACGTCCACCAAGCACTGCAACTCCAGCAGTAGACCGCATGGAAGACATAGACGCTACGTAGCTCCAAGTGCGTGTGGTTGGATCCCAACTTAAAGTTTTCAAAAATAAAATATACGTTTGTTTTTATGTATATTCGCAGGAAAATATCTTTCCACGCTTACCGCTCTACAGTTGACAAATAACTCCAGCCATCATGCCCACCCACTGCATAGAGTGGGCCTTCCAGCACGGCTACTCCTAAGCCGTGGCGATGTGTACCCATAGGATTCAGCGCTGTCCACGCCATTGTGTTTAAGTCTAAACTCTCTACTGTATTGAGCGTTTTTAAACCATCGCGGCCGCCCACTATCACTAACTTATCATCCATCACAGCTACACCGAATTGTAAACGGCGTGCGGGCATATTCTTCCACACGGACCACTTGTCGGCGTACGGGCAGTAGCTTTCAATACTTATAGCGCCCTTCAGAGAAGTGAGAAATGAATAATAACACCTTTTTCAGAAATTCATAAATGTACCTTATGTGCATCCATTCCGCCCACAGCGAGTAAGCGACCAACCGTCGATTTACGCGGCTTTGTTCGTTCCGATGCAATCAAAGCTAACAAATTTCGTCGTTCAGGCAATAAGTGCCACTTTAGCGCTTCCATTACAAGTTGTTGGCAGTCATTCGAGCTGCAAAGCGTTTCAACGTGATCCATGATGAACGAGGGTTTCAGCAGCGGTAATCGCACCAATGCCAACAACTCAGGAATGTGTTTCTCCCGATTGACAGGATCATGTTGCACCCACATCTTTAGACTGTGCACTACATCCTCCTCGGTGGGAACATTGAGATCATCACTGGATATTAATTTGCCGAGCTGTTCGGAGTCGAGTTGAAGAAATTCTTGATTTTTACATACCTATAAGTTTTCCAAAACAAAAACCGCATCGAGTAAAAGCCAGTAACATCAATAAATCAAATAGCATCTGAACATACATACCTGCATGAAATGCTGGCATGTGTAGGATTTGGCTAGACGCAGTAGGGTTGTGCAGCTCTGCCTTTCGGCAAAAAAGGCAAAACCTAGGCAGTTTGATGGATGTAGTTGGCGGGCGAGGAAATTGCAGCAGGCAGTAACTACAGCGTTCAACTGTAGCAAGCAGGCAGTGGCTAAAAGCGTTTCTACAGTATCTTCGCGCAATTCCATGTATCCCGTATAACAGTATTGTATTAGTATTTGCAATGCATCGCCATGTACTTCGCCAAGCGTGACTTCCTGCTCTTTGGTTTCGCGCAATGAACCAGTGAACATGGCTGCAAAGTAGGCGCTCGATGCCGATAATACTACACGATGGGCAGACACTCTAGAGGATACACAGTTGAAGTATGGAATATGTATGGAATTAGTAAAGAAAAGTAAAAAAAAATGCGTATGCTATTTTTATAAGTGTAAATAAGTATGTATGTAGATCATTAGCGCACACAAGGGGTGGGTTTTGGGGTTCAAACCCCCCCTAAAGCTAATAACCTCAAATACAATCTGTATCTTAAAACTAAGAATCCAGCTCTCAAGGAAATTATAAGATATATTTATTATAATTTCTGTTGCTTGAAAAAGCGCTTTGCTTTTGCTGTAAATTTTCATGAGGGAATAAATATACGAGCATTTTTTTTCTTGAGAGCTGCAAACTGATTTAAGAAATTTTGGTAGAAGAAAATTTCTTTTCCATTTCTCGTCCGTCGTTTTATATGAATTTTTCGTTATTCTTGAGAGTTCAGTTAATTTTTTCGGTATTTGAAATATTAAACAAATTTAGCAATCGTGAAAAATCACCATCTCTATCGAAAACCAGAAATCGAAAAAATGAACATAGAAGTGCAAAAATTCATGGAATCAATAAATTTTCAGTATTTTCCGGTGATATATCTTCAGAAATATAAAATCCCCCCTAAAATATGTTCCTGGGTGCGCCCCTGATGTAGATATGTACATATGTACATATATCAAGCTAAATGACACCTTTAATTGGCACAAATGCATTAATTAATAATTTATGACAAGGTATTTACATAAATTCACACCGCCGTTTAGAGTGCAAAATCGCTTATCGTGGTTGAGATTTTTGCTCACCGCTCAAGCCTTACCCATTCATACCAAAATAACGATATTTAGATAATACATAAAAGGTACCAGATAATTAGGGATAAATGAGAGAACCGTTTTGAAATAAGACATGATCCATTCTCTCCTGTAAAATTTGGGCAATCTCTCTTGTATTATCTAGATACGCGGTTTTGTACATTTTAACGACGATATATATTTATGTATATAGGGTACATCCCAGTTAGCCAAATATGGAGCGAAAAATGACTCCCACAGCCACACTTGGAAAGAGCGTTTTCGGAGCGCTACGAATATGGAGTGAAAAATGATTCCCACAGTAACACCCCGAATTAGTGTTTCCCGATATGGAGGGAAAAGGGAGCCAAATTGTTTTTTTGTTGACTTGTTTTTCTTTTCTTTGTATCTGGTCTGTAAGATGAAAATTCAATCAACTTAAATTGAATCGCTTCGCTTCGTGGCTTCCGAATATTCCTGGAAAAGGACACCGCAGAAAAGCTGTTGACGTTATGGCAGTTGCGAATGCATTTGGATGTAAGCAATACCGCATAAAAAATTACTTTTGGATAACTTTAGAACTTTTCAGAGGCATTTATTAGAAAATTAGATAGGTCGTTTTTGAACTGGCTTCCGAGATAGGTCGATCTTCCACTCAGCCATCGATATGTTAAATCATTTACTTTATAAAAGTTTTTTCAATAAAAAGAAATGATGTAAAAATTTGAATACTTATAAATTATGAAATAAATCACGAGCATTTTGAAAACCCGTAAATCCTCCTTTTCGGTCTATTAACGGAGCAGTCCCAAAACACTCCGTCTAGGTTATCTTCGGATGATTCGGAGTCCTTTTTTACAAAATTATAGCCAAGTAAAGGAGTCCGC